CCAAGAATTTAACCGCGTATGCTACCAAACTGCTCATCATCAAGACCCAAAAGGAACTTTCGAGTTTTCGATTTTTCAGCCCGATCTTTCAACTGTGCTGCCGCCTCACACTTGCAGCCGCAGGTGGGATCTTCCATCCCATACAATTTATTCCAAATAGTGACAAATTGGTTGTAATAAACAACCACCGTTTGACCTTTCTGACGGAGATTTTGCAATTCACTTTCCAATTGATAAATGTGGGGCTCATTAACTGTGCTATAACGAGCCTTCAGATCTGTCCATAATTCATGAACCACAGTATGGGAAGCAATACTGGGTTGAATTGTTTCATCAACACTATTAAAAATCCAGCTACAAATTGTAGAATTATTGGCTTCCCAAGCCTCAAGTTCCATCGGGTCCGTAGGTTTAGGCACACCAACGGGAGACAAAAACCCGGCCTTGCTACGACCCTTCAACGCATTAACAATTGTCTTTTCCCACATATCAAAATTATCGCCTTTTAAGACATGCTTCGTGAGAGCGTTACCTGGGCCCTCTGAAGGATGGAGATAATATTCGGACGAAGAATCATGAATCAAACGAGTTTTCTTCGTGGTGGACGTCATCGCCGATCTTCAAAGCTTGACACAAAGAGGACCTAACCGAGACACTACCCGGTCGCCGTGCAGCTTCTGCCGAAGATTAGCCTGGGAAATCGCCGGTCACACACACGATCACACACAAACACACGATCGACGGCACGCCGTCGATCGAGATCAGCACCGAAAAAAAACGTATCGTGCCCAGGGTTTGGCTCTGATACCATGTAGAAATTTGATAAAAAAACTGATCTCGTTTACTAATCACAAGCAAGTGTATATATACAAATACAAGCGGGCTTAGAGTTACACGTGAGCCCGATACACTAATTACAGTCCAAAACTACAAATATCCGCTAACAAAAATATTCTTTTATTTTTTATTTATAAAAGAAAATGCTTATTTAAGTAATAAAGAAAATTTTATTTTACTCATATGTAGTTCCATGATGGACCTTAGGTCAACCATAGAATTTGCCCCCTCCTATATATACTCCCTTACTCGAATCGAAAAATATCGTCTCACTTTGAATAACATGCATTTAAATACAATCTATTCTCAAATAATTTTATTTACAAATTGGTATAGTAATTAGAATTACTCGTACATATTTCAAAATTACATAAAAATTTTATAAAATAAAATGTGACAAGAATATACAAAGTACTTTTTATTTATCAAATGATTAATTAATTTAAATTAATGCACAAATTAAATAAATAGAAGTTATCGAAAAGTTAGAACGATAAGTGTGTCTGTATTTCTGCTACGCAAGAAGTATAGTCAAGTGATAGCCAGCAAATGTGGATCTACCACCAAATCACGAGTCATTTATATTAACTACGTACGGCCTAAGTGGATGGGGGCTTGTTTGAAATTAACAAGGAAAAAGGGAAAAGCATACATTATTTAATTTGGTTGACACATTAGAAATTTCACCAATGAAAAAAATGAGTTAGTTTGACTGTGAGCATTCTTTATATTTCTCCCTTTTATTAATGTTTATGTTTCTAAACCTTAGCTTTGATGATGTGAGATCATCAATCATTTTCTTGACCTTTCACCTTGTTCGGTTAATGTTGGTGAGTAGGTTGACAACTTAGGATTACAGGCTTCTTCAATTCCCATATGCTCCGAGTAGATGGTACGTAGTGATTCCATTGTCTCTCATGATAGGCTAGCTTCAAAATTAAAGTTTTCATTTACATTTTGGAAAAAAAGAAGCTGATGAACTCTATTCCCCATAGGTTGATTTGAAATTTTGTTTGGAGAATGATTAATCTGTCCATTATTTTCATTTTCTTTCTACGTTAGAATGACATTCTTGGTTTATAATTGATATAAATAACATAAACAACTCGGTCTTTTGATGAGAATTTGATTAGTAACTAGACAAACTTATCTTTTTTTTGTTAGACCACAAGTGTTCCAAAGCCAACTTTAGTGAAATCCGCATAATTCTGATCGACTGGGTTTGCAAATTAAGGTCGAAAGTCTCACAGTAAGTGACAAACTTATCTAAGAGTACTATTAAAACATAACTAATTTCTCAAAACATTGGGAAAACCAAGCTGGCTAGAGAATAGAGAATTGTATGAGAGAATGCGTTCATCTCTATATTTTTAAAATATGAGAGGGTATTTATAGTTGAAATATATATACTCCCTCCGTCCTAAAAGTAACTTCTCAGTTTGACTTTTATAGTTAAACTTTTTAAACTTTGACCGTATATTACGGAAAAAATACATTGAATTTTCATATAAATTTATTAGCAATAGATTCATTTTGAAACATAGTTTTGAAATATATAAATTTTATAAAATATATTTATATAAAAAATGAGATATTGATGGTCAAAATATTGCATTAGAGACCGTGAAAAGTCAAATGGGAAATTAATTTTAGGACGGAGGGAGTATATTTTAAATATTTGAAAACGGCCAAATATTGGACCGTTGGGGGGGAGCAACTGTCATTTCCTCGGTTCTCGTTGTGTCAAACGTTTAACGCAACACATTTGACGCTCGTTTAGCGTTAAAGGGGGCGGTGTTTAACCCCAGTTAGGCATTAAACACCCCATAACGGGACAAGGCGTTATGTGTATTTCCACAGTCGTAAGTTACTCTGTATGTTTTAATAGCTCATGTTTACACAGTGATAAGAAAGTCCCTTAGCTTTTCAAATTTCAATATCTAGCATGCTTAAGAGGTTAAAATTATAAAATGAGCTTTTTCCGTCATTTATCCATGAACTTTTCAAAAATTGCTCCAATTCACCCTTAACTATTAAAATGTGCCAATGCCCACTGAATTTTTAAAAATGCTGCGCCAATGGTCCCTTTGCACCAGATTTGGGAATGCATTAATCATACACTCATCACGTGCAAGTATAGATTAATCTAAAGTCATATATCACATCGTCACACGTAAGTTCTGCAATATGTCATTCTCAAATATTATATTCTATATTTTTAACCTATTTAAAGCCTAAATAATTATTCTTGATTTTACTCCGCAGTAACTGAATTCGAAGACCAAACATCACTCGATAAAGATTGTCATCAATCGATCAACATCTTCATCAATTCATGAAATCTTCATCAAGTTTAAACATGTATAATTCATGAGCGTTTAATTAACTCACTTAGAAATATGGCACAAAGGGACCATTGGTGCAATATTTTTAAACTTTCAAGGGGTATTGGCGCAATCTTTTAATGTTCAGGGTAAATACGTGTAATTTTTAAAAAATCAGGGATAAATGGCGTTAAAAAACTCATTATAAAATTGGACATATACTATACGGATGGGTTCGAGAGATATTAAAAAAGTTACTTCCTCCAATTCCGAAAATAGTTCTCCTTTCGTTTTTTTTATTTTCATAAAAATACTTTCACTTTTGTAAAAATGACTCATATATCCAAATAAAATTATTGCAATATACTTATCCTATTTACATTGATATAATAAGTTATTTAAATGACCTTTCTCTCTTTTTTCTTCGACGCTCAGGGTGTAATTAAAAAACTAAATTACAAAAGTAAATTTGATTAAGTCAAAATAAGAACTATTTTTGCAAGCGCAAGAAATATGTGTTAATGAGCCTGTTTGGGAATAGCTTTAGCGATTAGCGTTAGCGTTTTGAAAAGGCTATCTACGGGCAGCGTTTAGCGTTAGCGTTTTCAAAGTAATCTGCACCGTTAAAATTTTATCCAAAACGCTAACGCTAATCTCTAACGCACTTCCCAAACAGGCCAAATGTTAATAATAATCATTTTGTATTAATAGGCAACATTTTTTTTTATCATCATGTACCAAGAGACTAGGACAATTAAGTTCACTTTGGGTGGTCCACTAAGATAAGAAGTGAATATCACTACTCCTTTTAGAGTTTATTTTTTTATTTCTCAAGAGAAATGATTTTGTCCCTCTTTCCACTTTTATGCTTACAAGAATCAAAGAGTACCAGAAAAGTTTATCACTTTGATGTGTGCATCCAACATGTAATACACATGAATAGAACATTGCTTAAAGAAAGCCATCGCCCGCCCGCCCGGGTCGGCCCAACACTATTGCTGCAGAGTGCGACTAATAATAATGGATAATGAAGAAAACGGAAAACAATGTCCTCAATAAAGACCCAATAATAATACCCAAAATTTTCATTTTTTTTTCTTTTGTGAAAATATATAAAACAATCACGCTAGAATATAACAAATTTCTTCAAATATTACCAAGAGAAGAGATCTCGATCTCGCTATTGTACTAGCAATACAAAACTTCATTTCTTAAGATATTATACTTCTCCGTCCTTAAAAGAAGGTTACGTTTTATTTTTTGCAAATCTTATAAAAAACTTCTATATCATCTCAAATACCAAAAAAAAACTTTCAAAACGACTTCTACACACAATAAAGGGTAAATGCGATAATTTTTAGGCATTTTAGATGTGGGCATTAGATGTGGGCAGAAGTGTTTTTTTTTGGAATGAACGAAGTACTTGATCGCGAAACACCTGCTGGTATCATTGTACAGGGTCGGATGTAAAACCTGCATTGTACACTCAAGTTCCAAGTTCCTAGGAAATATCGTGAATATTATGAAATTAATATACGAAGTTACGAACATACAATCCCAAACTCGTTTAACCGGGTCTTGACATATAACCTTCACATATATATTATGATTGCATTTTCAAAGGCCCACATCTAAGATTGTGACCCAAGCGAGCCAAGCCCATCCATGGCAGGCCATGAGGCCCGAACAACTGTGCCAAGTTGAAAATTGTCTAAGTTTGTGTTGCATTATGTTGAAACAAAGCTTTCTATAAAAGGATCTAACAAGCATTAATGTACCTTAGGTTATAAAAACAACCTCATCAGTCAAGACCATTTATGAGAACAGCAAGAAAAAACTATATGATAACCAAAGGGCCCTAATGCTACCCAAAACACATGATGTTGGTACCAAATACACCACCACTACCCAATATGGAAAATAAACACATTCTGCTTCCCATTTGGGAGCAGCTATTTCTATGAGAATATCAACTACAGATTGTTTTTCTTCTTCTTCTTCTTTTCTTTCACAAATGGAAAACCCATTCATTCAGTGCTTGCTGTAATGGCCTGGTTTCACATGTGCATTTTTGTTCCCTATACACTGCTTGGGGATTTCATGCATCTCCAAAAACTGAGTCGTCCGCTGCTTCTTGGCTAAACAAGAATTACATACAAAAAACATAACGGATAGCTTAAAACTTTATGCTTTGGTTTGTATTTTATATTCATCTGATGTAAAATGGCTCAACAACTAGAGAATGTGTAGCAGTTTTTGAAGTGGGTGGGTGGGAGAAGAGAGGGTACCAACCGGATTCAAGAGAGTCGTAACGTTCTTTAAGTTTCTTCTTTGCCACTTCTAGTTTTGCTCTGATCGAGTCTTCATCTTTACACTTCACCTTCTGATGGATCAGTGGCATTAGAGAAGTTTGAGAGTAGTTCGACAGATGCACTTAAAAAAAATCCAAATTTAAAGCTTACACTTGGTTGAGAAACGTGACACTTCTTGTCAATAGCGGCCTTATGTTCCACGGGTTGTGGTCTTTTGGCACAAGCCTTGTTTGGTCTGCTGGCAATCGGTTTCTTAATTGGGGTTTCATGTTCCTTTGGCTGTCGAGTAAACCAATCTTGAGAAGAAGAAATCATTGGTTTCTTTTCTTCTGCCTTTGGTTTGTTAGTAAACCTTTCTTTAGGAGCAACCGATGATGGTTTCTGCATCGCAGCTTTCTTTAGGTCATTCTCAAACTTGTTGTTGGCCTCCTTGCTGTTTCGAAGATCTGAAACAGAACAGCTCACTTCAATCTTCTTTCACGGTGTATTAAACCAAGGTAACAACAACAATAAACCCGGTAGAATCCCACAAGTGTAGTGTTTGGGTGGGTTTAGAGAGGATCTTCATGGTTTATTGTGAAAGCATTTATAAGAGAGCATGTATTAAAAAACTCACTTCCATTTTCATCGATGTCATCAAAGAACTTGCACGGTTGACATGAGAGCAAAGGAAAAAAAACAGACGAGAACGAGTCAATGCCAAAACATGAGAAAAGGAAGAATGGAAATTTAGAAGAGAATAAGAGATTCATAGTGAAAATACTTGTGATAGATCCATTGTACTAGTAGTAAAGAAAGCTCCCTCATCCATGGGAGGAGATGGTAGCCCTTCTTCCTCTTCTTCTTCTTTTTCTAAAGCCCTTTCTCTACCTATATCAACACATACGTTGGAAAATCAATGTCCGGCTAAGGGTCTGTTTGGATGGAGAGTTTTGGAAGCTTAATCTATATCTTGATTAACAGAATTTGTGTGAATACAAATAAAAGGTGATTGAAATGCTCTCCAGACAGAGCCTAAGAAACTACCTGCCACAGTTTCTGTAACAATGACCCATTCATCCACTTTGGCTTTCCAAGCACTGCAAAAGTGCAATCCAACAAGGAGTACTGTTTTAGTAACACTAACATGAAATATCCATGTTTATATCAGACCTAATGGTTTTGTTCATACCCAATCAATGCACGGACAAGATGGTTAATTTTTGCGGATTTCCGCTTTCGGAGAGCATTTACAGACTTTCCAATGTCAGTGGCCTGAACCCAAACCAGCAAAACTGCTTTTTAAAGGAACATATTTAGACAACAATAAAGAAGGAAAGAGTAGAATCAAACCTTTAGAATCTCCACGGACAAATCCATCAATTGAAGTTTTCTCAGGGAACCAATCACTAGGGACTCGGACTGTCAGAAAAGGAAACGCCAATCAACACTACATTACTCCCAAATAGCCAAGAAAATCTAACAACAGATGTTAAAGTTCAAGAAGGACATCACACAAAAGTAGTTGCAAGTATCAGTTAAAGGCTAAAAGTTAATCAAATACCTCAGAATCAATGCCATTTTAGCAACAGAAACACCATCATCGTTTCAAATTTCTTTACAGATTCTACATTCCATGAATTGATCAAGAAGTACAACAACAAAAAATCCCACAAAAAGTAGGGTTTCGGGAGGGGGTGCACAAGCAAACCTTACTCCCAGTCGGAGGTAGAGAGGACGTTTCCAATTGATCAAACAGGAAACAGAAATTAATAGATAAATACCCTTTGAATATCATTGATGTAGATCTTGACCAAAGAACTTCATACAAGATCCCTATAAATTATTAAGCAGAACAGCATGATCAAACGAAACAAAGTCATCAGAAAGAGAAATGATATAAACCTCTTCGTCATGGTTATCAATGATCTTCTTGATCCTCGAGACCTCCAAAACAGTCTGAGATTCTTCCTCAATCTCATCATTCAAAGCCTCAACATCTACATAGCTGCTGTGGCTCATCTGGTTTATGACATCTGAGTCCATCTCCAAAGGTTCATCTTTCTTTTTGCTCTCTTTACTCTTATCGGCCTCAGTTTTCTCGGGCTCGGCTTGGACATCATCAACACCAGTGGGCAAAGCCAGTCCAGCATTGTTGCAGGAGGTACACAAGGTTGGTTTGCAAGTAAAAAGCATCTCGGCTATTCGAGCTCGTTTCAGGGCCAGCTCATTGGGTTTGTCTATGGCTGCCATCTTAATAGCCTGCTCGATTATACCAAATATATCGGCATTGGCACTCTTAAAATATACCCTCCATTCATCAAGACTGCCAGATTTTTCACCCATATCAAGAACCCTACAGAACCTATCTCTACTCAACAAAAACTTGAATCTTTATCAATGCCCAGACATAAAAAATCAGTCTTTTGTTGGTTTTAAAGAGACCCAGATTGAGACAAGAGATTTTTTAAGAGCACCCGGAAAAAGACAACTTTTTTTTCAACCAGTTTTGATCGGTTACAAAATTTGAGCTCTACACAGAAAATCTCTGACTGTGAGAGGCCGAAAGTGAATGAGACAAAGCAGATAAAGATATCATCGTGAGAAAGCCCCGCGGGAAGAAGGAGAATATATGTTGAAATCAATTTCTCACTCGAGAATAGAATACAGTGTAAGGTGGTGCCGCATAGCCAGTGAGAGCGAGGGAAAGGAGTGATGAAGGTCAAATATTGGGACTGTTTGTTTGGCAATAAATAAATTTTACACGCGTCTATTTTTAGTATTTAATTTAAGTCAACATTTTTCTTTTTTGAAAAAAAAAAGTTCTTTTTCTTTTAACAAAAGACCTGTGAAAAAAGGAAGAAGTGAGGAGAGATGTATGTGTACTCTTCAAAATAACCAATGCAAACCCAAACTTCGATTTCGTCTCAATATTCACGTTTTTTGACCCAGACAAGAAATGGCTGAGATGTTACAATTTGTTTTTATTTTTAATGGAGAAACAATACTAGAGAAACACAATGTGATTGGGGGCGCATTAATAAGTACAAACAACCGAATAACAAACACTTTAAAAAAGTGAAAAGTAGAACTTTTCAAGCTAGTGAGTGTTTTTCATGTGATAGTAAATAAGAAAATTCTATGGAGCCAAATACTTTGTGGTCCAATTACATTGAGGTGATTTTCCTTAATGAGAGGTTACATATTCGAATCAGAGAACAATAATTTTATTATTTCCCTTAATGTGTTTTTCATCTATTATTATTACTACTATTATTATTTCATCATTATTATTACGGTTGTTGTTGTCATTAATATGTTCATAACTATAGTTTATTTTTCAATTTTTATTTCTGCTCATATTATTTTTTGGTTATTCACACCTATTATTATTTTTCTTTCGTTTTTAATATCACTACGGAGAACAATTGTATTAGGAAAAATTATTTTTTAACTTACTTGACACTGAACAATGTTCTAAAGATTAGAAATATTTTATTAATCGGAATTGACCTTGAAAAAACTTCTATACTTTAAATTAAAAAAATAATAATCATACAACTCCCTCTGTTCGTGATTAAATGAGACATAAACTATTCATGTGGTCGAATTTTATTTACTTTCTTTAATTATATGTGATAACAATAATATAGTAGTAGCAATAATAATAATATTAATGTTAACAAGTACAATAATCACAATAATAATAAGAATGATCAATTCATATCATAATACAATCAATAACTTTTATTCTAAAAATATTAGATTTATGAAATAAAAATAATCAATTCATATATACATTGGAATAAAAAGCCGTTGATAATAATCAATACTTGAAAATTTTAATCATTTACTTTTTAATATTGAATATAGAAAAGATAGATTATTATTATTATTATTAAAGTATCTAATCATTAGAAACTATGAATGATATGCTACAAAATATTACTCCCTCTGTTCCAGTGTATTTGTCCAGTTTGACTTTTTCGAGTCAAACTTGAACTTTGAGCTTCAATTAAATAAAAATCGTAATGTATTTTAACATGAAAATGACTTTATTGGATTTATCGGATTGAGAACTTTCAAAATTGTATTTCATTATGCTAATATGCAATATAAATTGAGAATAATTAGAGTTCAAAATTTGTCCAGTTTGACTCGAAAAAGTCAAACTAGACAAATACATTGGGACGGAGGTAGTATATTTTTCTACATCTTGTTGAAAACTACCAGGAGTTCACAACAGGGAAAATAAGGAGAGAATAATCTGAACTTATAATTCGTTCGGATTTTAAAATGGGAAAATAAAATAAAATAATAAAGTAGAAGGTCTCCAGAGGTCAGAAGCCGAAACGGAAAAAGAAAGGAAAACAGAGTCGCTGGAGATTCCCTTAAGGTAGTATCACCCGCCTCCCGCATTGGCCAACGTGGACGATCTCCTCCTACGATAAAACCACTAACGTGCCAGGTCTAATGCGGTAGAGCCGTGCACTGACGAACGAGAACGACTGGAGAGTTAATTTCCCGAAAAGTGATCAGAAAGACAAATGAAAGTTGGAATGCATGGATAATATTTTTGAGTTGGTTGTTTCTTCCAGTGTAATTCGCCTCTCCTTATAAAGGAGAGACTTTGGTTATTTGGATGGGCTGACGTTAAACACGAGGAGTCTCTGGAGACTTTTCACACTGCATGCATGCTTCGTTATCAACCATCCATTCTTCTTGGGTACAGATAACTGGATTTGCCTATAACATATTTGGACTGAACCACATTAAAAGATTGAATTCAATCGTTTACTTAGTTCAACTCAAGAATTTATATACCGATTAATTTTCTATTCAACTTCCGATATGGGATAGACTCTAACGGATTCTGTGTGGTCTAGGGGTAGGAGGAGGATAAGAAATGAAAACTTCTATAGTGAGAGATAAATAGATAATAGAGGTGTAAAGGGTAGTGTTAAGGATGAGAACATGCAATATATGAGACATGGTGTCTTCATCATTGAGAGAAAAGGGGGTAAAATAGAAAAAAATAAAGGATAGTAATAGTAGATGAAGAGATAATTCTCTATGGAAATTTGTTTACATGAAAAATGACATCACGACTAAGGCTCTGTTTCGTACGTTTGATCTAATTGAATTTGATCTGAATTTTCAAAGATCCGATTCATTGGATATGATCTGATCTGGTTGGATCTGATCTGATTTAATAAGGTCTGACATGATTTGATAGGATCTGATCTGATTTGATTGGATATGATCTGATTCGGTCTGATCTGATCTGATTGACTTTGATCTAATTGAACTTGATTTTATCTAATTAGATCTTGTGTAAATGAATTTAAATTTGATTTAAATCAAACTTAAAATTATTACAAAATTTAATAGTTTTAAAGTATTGCAATTCACATATACATAAAAAAGTAAAATAAGAAAATCAACAACTCACTGATATATTTAAACTTTTTTTGAAATATTAAACAACTTTTCAATATCACTACTTTTTTAATCTTTGTGAAAACTAAATATTCAATTTTAAAATAACTAAATATTAGAAAATATGGATGCTATTTTACAGAAATATCACATTCTATATGGATATTACATGCTACGGGGTAATAATATATTTAATTTTACAAATTAAAGATCGTATAAAATCTTAAACACTAATATTTCTTTCACCTCTATCAATTTTGTCACAAACTCACCACTGTGTATATTATATCATCCTAAAGTTTAAAAGTAAGTCTCTTTAAGTACAAAATATTTATGGTTTTGAAAATTAAGTTTTGTAAAGTTGTACCACTCTAGACCTAGGAATAATGGGTCTGGATAAAGGGTTAAGGAACAAAATATGAGTAAAACATTGATTAAAACATAAAATAGGAGTGAAAACATAAAACCTCCAAAATAGGAGTTGTTGACTCACCATTTCATCACCTCTTGCTCCTGCTATCATCGCACGTTGTCGGCATCACAAATCCCCACAGGTGTAGTTCCATGGTGCTACATGGAGAAAAAATAATTCATACAGTGTCAATCGAAAATACAATACTAAAAATGATAACATACAATGACAAACATGACATTGTAAGATGCAAAAATACAAAATTTTAGGTCAATCAAAAACATAATACCAAAGATGCCAATGCACAGTGACAAAGCGTCGCTCTGCAAAATGCCAAAAGTTCAATTGTACAATGTCATGTATTAATTAAATAATTGACACTGTATGAATTAATTTTTCGATTGAACTGTATGAATTGAACTGTATGCACAGTGACAAATACTTGTACATTGTATTTTCGATTTACAAGTGTCAAGTATGAATACTTGTATTAATTCATACAGTGTATGAATACGTATGAATTATTGTTTCAATCGAAAAAATAATTAATTACTCCTACTTCTATGCACAGTGACAAAAAATAATTAATTACGTATGAATTAACCAATTTTTTTCGAAAATACAATACACTGTATGAATACTTCTATTAATTAAATTAATTACTCCTACGTAGAGGAGTTTAAGTTTGAACTCCTACTTTGAGGATATAACACATGTTTTACTCCTATTTAGGGGGTTTTCTTCGGGATGAACCTATTATGATATATGAGGGTTAAACTCGACCCTAAAGTGAGGTAATCGTATTGTAACATTCGTTGCTGGAGGGGTTAGAGAATGAAGTTATGAGAAATCAAAGAATATCTTGCAATGCCCTGTGTTAACATGAAATGAGAAGAGCTAAAAAAGATTAATAGTATTACCCATGCTAACAAAGTTCTTATTTTCGAGAGCTCATCTCCTAAAAACTTCAAAATTAAGTATGCTTGACTCGGAATAGTTTTAAGATGGATAACCCTTTGGAAAGTTCGGGCGGGAACAGGTAAATAAAGTGTGTGAAAAAGATTTGTTTGTGGAGCTAGTCTACAATCCTATGAGCAAACGTTTCTAGACAAAGTGGGGGTGTTACATATGCCACTCACTTTTCATATTCTACATAATATCTTGATTGAGACTTTTATTATTGAACCGGTACATATGAATGCTCTGGTTGAACATATACTGAGATGAGACTGAATTTAAACTCAGCAACATATAAAACACCAGTTAAAACCAAACTAGGTCCCAAAACAACATTCTCTGCTTTATTCACACTTATGGATTTTCCATCAGGCAATGTGACCATGATAGGAGCCTCAAGGTCAAATATCTCAGAAAAAACAAGTTTAGAATGGGTCATGTGATCTGAAGCTCCAGTGTCTATAATCCAATTGATCACAATTTGACTATCCACACAACATGCTGCAGCATCATTTAAGTTTAAGACAGTGGAAGCCATATATTTGTGTTTACCTGCAAAGTGTGCATAGGTGTTGAGGGAATTAGTGTCTGATGGCTTTGAGTTGCTCTCTCATTCATCATCCTCATAACTTCTTGAGCCAAGTTCTTAACAAGTGCAGAATTTGCATGAAAACTGTGTCCTTCATTTTCTGCATCCAGGACTTCAAGTGGTGTCTCCATACAGTCACTTTGGTTCTGCAGCATGGCATTTCCAGCAAACTTGTTCCCCCCATAAGAACTTTGACCCTTCTTGCCTTTGTTTCCCTTGAACCAATCAGGGTAGCCTACCAGTTTAAAACATTGTTCCTTAACATGTCCAATTCCTTTAGAGTAGGTGCAAATTCCTTTATTCTTCCTTGGATCTGGTTTGCTGAAGAAAGGTTGGCTCTGATTGTTTGCCTTTCCAGCATACAGAGCAATGCTTTGTCCATCTACATCATTACCATTGGCATAAGCCGCCATTTCTGTCCCAATAGTGTATGCTCCTGTGATTGTTTTCTGTCGCTCAACCTGTGGAACAAGACTACATGCTTTACTGGCATATGGAAAAGGTTCTATCAACAGGATCTGTCCTCTCACCACATCAAATACATCATTCAAGCCCATGAGGAACATAACCAGTTTTCTCTTCTGACCAGCTTCAATGGCCTTCCTCTTGGCATCACAGGTACAGCCACCACATTGACAAGTTGGTGGCTCATTCACAGTGGCCATTTCATCCCAAAGCTTCTTGAGTTTGGTGAAGTACGCTCCAACAGAATCATTGTTCTACTGAAGATCTGCAATCTTCTTCTCAATCTGATATATCAAGGGACCATTGCTTTGTCCAAATCTTTCTTCCAATTCGTTCCACAATTCTTCAGACGATGAGGCATAAAGAAAGGCCTCAGCAAGATCTGGCTGAATGGAATGAAGGAGCCAACTGAACACCATGTTATCGCATCGTTCCCATTGCGCCAGATTTGGAGAATCTGGACCTGGCTTTCTGCAAGTGCCATCGATGAAGCCCATTTTCATCTTTGACATGAGAGAGATCTTGACAGAATGGCTCCAGGGAATAAAATTTGCTCCGTTCAGCTTAGTCGCCGTCAGAGTCATGCCTAGAATTATGCAGGAACAAAGGGTCCTGCCGGTATGTGCGTTCCTCTGCTTCCGCCATTGTTAAACACAAGCTGTTCGCTCAAAGAGTGTTCACAGAAATTTCAAGAGATGAGTAATTCTGTGCTCTGATACCATGTAAACTAGTGCACAACGTGAAGAAGAAGGAAAGAAGATGTTTATTTCTCAATCATCTTAGATCAAATCTACACAGACTTAGGGAACACGTATATATACAGATACAAGAGATAGAACGGAGGGGAAACAGAAAGTGTAACAACCGTGTAACAAACTAACATATAAAACTGAAATTAACATGTGAAGCACGTGCAATATTCTCTACAAGGGTAGAAGAATTTTTGTCTTTAAACATATTGTCTGCCTCCGCACTATTAGTTTTCAAGTGGTACTCTTCGAATTAAAGCCAAAAATGGTTATTTAATCATTTTTCACGTACTTCCTCCATTCACTTTGATTGTTCTCATTTAATTTTTTACGGTTTCTAATGTAACACTTTAATTATCTATAAGGAGTAATCTTCCATCAACTCAAGTGGTGTAAGATTGTTACAGTAATTCAATTGAAGTACCTACGGTGTTCCCGTCACAAAATTGATTATTCCTACCCCTATGAGTGGGCAGGGGTCGGAACGATTCATGTTTTATACCGTCCTGCGTTTTGTCTCGTTTTTTTCAAACGGTTCGGGCCACAAGCTTATCACTCTTTGTCGCTTAATATTCGGGATCAGAATAAAACGAAACGGGTTCGAATTATCCTACATGTTCATTATTTGAAATTAGATATAAAAATATAAAATACATAAGTGGGAGGCATCTCACTTTGACTTGCAAAATAATGAACAAAATGATATATTTATTCAGAATGTTTTTAAAAAGCTAAAATAATATGCAAAAATGGAAAATGTTACAATATACGTTAAAAGTCAAGACTATAAGCTTCATTTTAACTTTGAGCCATAAATCAAAGTGGATCGGGTTAGAACGGTCTGGATTTTTTTTGGTGTTTCGGTTTTAGTCCATTTTTTTTAGAATATTCGAATATGGATATTTTTTATATCCATTTTGAGAAAAATAAAAATTGTGATATTTATTTGTGTTTTATATCATTATATAAATAAATAAGTACAGATATATACATATATACGAGACAATGAGATGAAACGAGAAAATATTTATGTGTCCCGGTCCTGTCTCATTTTAATATATATATATATATATATATATATATATATATATATATATATATATATATATATATATATATATATATAAGAATATGATATGTTAAAACTTTTGGCCCTTATAGAGAATATAACTTTAGATAAGAGTATTTGGAAAGCTAAGACTATAGTAATTGGGTAGGCTTCTCAGCTTGGCAGTTGTTTTTTTTTTTTGCAGTTGTCGTGCCTTCTTTGCTTGGTGTTTCCTATTTCTTTCCCTTTGTTCACCTTAAATTGTTCTTTGCTATTCTTTTTTTGTGTTATTTATAATAGACGGGAAGATGAATGGCCCCAGAAATAAAATTTTAAATTTATAATTTATTCAGAATATTTCAAAATAAAGAAAATTGAAAAATAAGTTTCTAAATCTTCAAAAGGCCTTGTTGTACGTGAACATTATGCACTTGACTGCAAGGACATTATGCACTGTCTAAAACAGTAAGCCTGGAACAAAGGTACTTTGATTAGCGGCGAGGTCTGGGGCAGAATACAACTAGGTCACTATGGACTGAACCCGCGAAAACAAACATTGTGGAAGGACATCAGAGTCACCTAAGATGTCCTTAAGATAGGAGTGCCCGTTTACCATAACTGGAAAAATATGGGCACTCTTCTCCAAGATAAAACCACTATCGTGTGTGATGATAGTACAGCCAACCACACACCAACGAACAAAAACAACGTTGGAGCATTGGCGACCAACAAATTTGAAAGGGATCACCGAAAATTTGACCGAAAAACTAAGAACTCTCTCTAAGAATAAGAAAGATTTTTTCTTTCTTATGCTCTTTCACATATGAAAACAAAAGAGATGCCTCATCTCAAATCTTAAATATCTTAAATAAGCATAAATGAGGTTTTAAAAGTTGTAACATATGCATTAGAATGCATTAAGTCTCACTTATGTACATTAATGTGCATTAAGTGGTGTATAAAGCATAACTAAATGCCCGTTGCTTTTTCTTGACTCATTCAATTCTTTTAAGCTTTGTTTAAAATTTTGTCCCATTTAATTGGAGATTAATGGTGATTTGACTCCATAATAAAGTGGAATAATTTTAAATATTACATAAAAATAATAGAAATTGATTAAAAAATAAAATACGCACGCGAATGCTCCAACCATCCTCTTCTATTTAACGAGTTAATTTTGAGAATCATTTTCTCATTCACCCTTATACCATTTTTGGCGTATACATTATCAAAATATTTATCTTATTTAAGAGAACATACGTCCATTAACTAACGGTGTAAACCGTTAGTGAACCTATTGATAAATATACCCAAGTACGTCCATATAATACCTACTAAAAATGCCAAAAATTCAAAAACTTTCAGTGCTCAACTTTCTTCTTGTGTGTCTCAAGTCGTTCTTTGAAATAGCATCTCTATTTTGAGTACGGATAAAGTTTGCATACACACATCCTTCAAATCTTACTTTTGTGGATTCAACTAGGTTGCTATTGTTGTAGATATTTTAAAAATGTGTTTTATTTTAAAATGAATCTATTGATATTAAATTTATATTCACAATTTAATTTATTGTTTCCATAACTTGTGTTCAAATTTAAAAAAAAATTGATTGAGAAAATCAAAATGAGAAGAATCAAAGTGGACGAAGAGGAGAGAGTATTGATAAAAATTGATCCGACCTATCTTTGACTCGAGGATCGATAAAACATACTAGCTCTAAACAAAGGTTTTGTTGACTGAACCCGAAAATGGCCAAACCCTAAATGACATACTAATAATGGTTCAAACCATATCGAATTTGGACTCGACCCACCAACGTAAAGGTTTTTCGAAATCATGTACTTTAAAATGAAAAATAATATAATTAAAATAAGCTTATATTTTTATTTCTTTCTTATTTTTAATTTTTAGTGTACAAGCTTTTATTTTCAATTTTTTTTAATGATATCACAAAATTATTTTTTTCAAAATTGGTATTCCGTACATATTTAAATTTTTATATTGTTCATAATATTGTTAAATATATCTAAAATAAATAATAAAAAAATAAAATATACTAATAGCTTTAGTATATGTAATTTGATATTTTAAGATTTTTAGAGTAAAATGTGAATACTAGTATGAATTTAAATGTTCTAAGAATAAAGTTTATATCCGTTGGATCGACTCAATCTGGTAATACCGGATCATGAATATGCAATTCTCAACTAGAGCCCAAATGTATCTGAATCTAGTGTAACCTGAACTCGAAGTGATCAAACTTGAACCCAACTTGATCGATTGGTTTATTAAAATTCATGGCCGATGAAAGTAAATAGAGGTTAGGGTATTTCAAAATTATATACTTTTTTGTACATCAATGGCAAACACATTGACAGACATAATACCTACATCTAAATGGAAAATGCTAGGATGCCACCACATGGGTGCTATCATAGGTGCACTCATGCTTCGCACAGACAAACACAGACGATAATTGTTTGTGTCGCATAGACAATTATTGTCTGTGTTTGTCTGTGCGAAGCATGGGTGCACCCATGGTAGCACTCATGTGGTGGCACCCTAGCATCTAAATATGTATGAAATGTCTATGTTTTATCTTTAGTGTTGTACAATTGTTGGGGTACTCTAATAATTTTCCAAATAAATACTCCCTATGGGGTTGAATAAGAAGCCCAAAGAGTAGAATCAAACAGGCCAGCGTAGGACTCTGAATGGGCCTAGAAAGTCACAGTCTTAAACCCTAAACCCTTTTAATACCCGCAAGTGGAAACGAAGAACAAGTGAGAGCGGACGATCCCTAAACGCACGCAGGTAGTGACTCCCAGCCCCACGGCTGCTGCAATTGTGAAGCAATGAGGCCACCGCGAGGGCGCGGCGGCGGATTCAGGGGCGGCAGAGACGGCGGCGGATTCAGGGGAGGTAGAGACGGTGGCCGCTTTGGCAGAGGAGGAGGAGGTCGAAGCTTTGGCGGTCGGGGTTCTTATCGCGATGAAGGCCCTCCTTCAGAAGTCGTAGAAGTTTCTACGTTCGTGCACGCTTGCGAAGGAGATGCAGTTACGAAGCTTACCAATGAGAAGATTCCCTATTTCAACGCTCCTATTTACCTCGAAAATAAAACTCAGATTGGCAAAGTTGATGAGATTTTCGGCCCAATCAATGAGTCGGTGAGTTAATATCCATCCCCTCTTTAATTAATTGCTTGGATATTTCTTCATTCATAGATAATCACTGGAAATTATACTGTCACTGTAGTTGTTCTCGATCAAAATGATGGAAGGAATTGTTGCAACATCATATTCTGCCGGAGATAAGTTCTACATAGATCCGGCCAAGCTTTTGCCCCTCTCCAAGTTTCTTCCACTTCCCAAGTTCGTTTTCTTTCCACTGATTTGTCTTTTTTACCATCAAGATCTATTCTTTACATTGATAGGAGTTTGATGACTTTGGGCATTGTCAAAGTTTAACATTTGCCTGTTTTAATTTATTTGTCCGGAATTGTTGCTGCATAATGACTTCATGAAAAGCTTGAACTTGATTCCTAACTTGGAAAAATGAACTTCTGTGGAACTTACATCAATGGAAAATTGAATGAATGTGAATGTGTACTTAATCTTGAACCTCAAACTTCACTTGATCAAGTTTAAACCTTGGTATTAGACTTGGACTTTGAACTAAAGTTGTTGTCTACATGTTCTGGTTTTCACCAAAGAAGGATGGAAAATAAAACAATAGGGAAAAACAAGTTAGATGGGATCAGTTTGAAAATTCTAAATTGTAGGTAAATGTACATATTGGATAAGGAAGTAGTACGAAGTAGTTTAGATCAACATAAAAAAGTAGGGTTCAGTAGATGATTTTGATGATGTGTGTAAATTTAGCATTGTATATCGACAGAGTAATACAACATGTGCCACAACATGCTGAGTAAGTCTCACATGTGGTGTCTTGGGGGTGGGTGTATCAGTGTATGTGTGCCTTATCACATGTGGTATCAATATAGAGTTTGTTTTTGAAAGGCTCTCAGTTCAAGAACAAAACACACGAATTTGCAATATAGAAAAGTTAAGGCACATATATGTGAGAGTGAAACTTAGCTAATTGTTTACACATAGAGCAACAGCAAGAAGGAAATTCATGGTAATGTCCTTCACGACTTACAAAAGCTTCATATTTTATCTAATAATCTTGCTGCAATTCTTTTTTTCTGCCTGCCTCTACCCCTTATCAGATTTTTTATCATCAAACGCACCTCCTCATAGGGACATTGGTAGTCCTCGATATGTGCTTGAACAACCTTAACCTGGCTTACCATACCATTCTAATATGACTGCACATTACTAACCCTTTCATTGACAAATAATTTGTGCTTATCAATTTTATTTGCCTTCATGAGGAAGGGGTGAATCAAGAACCCTAAAAAGTGTGGTTCTAACCACTCTATTATGGCAAAGACATCATCATAAGACAACCATAGTTCCTCCGTACTTTATCCGTCCATAAAAGTATCCATGTCTCTAAATAAATTTTATTTATTGTCCTAAAAAATCCAATATGAACAAAAATTGTACTCCCTCCTTCCCTTAAATAAAATTCTCCTTTCGATTTTCATTTGTCCCAAGAATTTCCCATTCACATGATTTCTCTCTCCATTGCATAAACTTCCACTATATAACTTTACTTTTTTTAAACTCTACCATGAAGCAAATGAAATCTTCCTAGGGACGGAGAGAATAATGTTTATAACTCCGTAAATAAAAAAGTATTTCAGCAATTGTGTTAAATTTTGTTACATTAACTAATCAACCTAAAAAATCAAGATTATTTGTTGACTTCTAATAGTTGTGTCATATTAAAAGATTAGAAGTGTTGTATGTGTGTGAAGGATTACCTCTCTTTTAATATTGAGCAGTACCTTTGTACGTGGCTATACTTGATGCAACTTTGAAATGCCTGTTCAAGTCATTATATTTACAGACATGAATTTGTGTCCTTTTTTAACAGGGGACACCCACAAGCGGCCAGAGGTGGAGGTGGTGGAGGAAGAGGGAGAGGCAGGGGACGTAGTAGTGGTGTACGTGGAAGAGGCCCACCGCGGGGACGTGGACCACCAAGGGGCCGTGGTGGTTTTAGAGGCCGAGGTGGAAGGGCATAGAATGGAGATTTGTTGTAGGCTCTCCTCCATGTCCGTGCTGAGGGTATCAATCTGAACATTTATTTCTGTCGTCTCTATAAGACATTTTCTACCGTTTCTATTTCAACCTTAGTTCTTTGACATTTTAGTTTGTCCTAATGCTTGAAGTGCATCAAAGCTCTGTATCTTTCTCTGACCCATTGCGCTATATTACCATTCTCCATTTGCCAATATGCGACTTTCCATTCTAATCCCTCTGTTCCAACTTCCAATAGGATTGGACATGGTCCGGTTTTGGTTTCGACTCCAAAATTGTTGGTTTTGTGCTCCAATTATTTTTGAACCGTAACCAAAAGTGAGATATAGCGGTTTGGTTTTGGTTTGAATTAGTTCAGTTTTTTGTTTCTTATTCCTTCCGTCCCAAAATTAAGTTATCTCTTCATTTACTTTCTCCAAACTTAATTTGTTTGGAGTAAGATGTTCTCTTACTCCAGTGTAACGGCCGAAACTGACTTGAACAAAACTTATTTTGTGAACATAAACATGAAGCGGAACATAAATTGTGGAGCTCTTTACTATTGAAGTATGTTGAACTCTACATCTTCATCAAACTCGCAAAGAAGACTAGCTCGTTGAGCAAGCTTTGAGATGAGAAGTTAAAACTCGACTTCTTTTTTTCAATAAATTTGATATAGAAATGGTATTTATAAGAAAAAAAAATACCCCCACCGCAAACGACTACTTTGCCATTGTTAGGGGTGTAAACGGATATTAATCGGATCAGATGTGCCATTACCAAATCCGCGTCCGTTTATTTTTGTCGGATATCGTATTCGGATACGGATCTTGACGGATACTGAAAATTAAAACCGTATCCGCATCCGTCGGATATCGGATATATCCGTATCCGTTTCTAATTTTTTAAATCAAATTTAAAAATACTTTAATTTTAAATTAGATTAAAGTCAAACTATTATTAAATCAACTATAATTTGTTATGAGATAGTTATTTTCTTTGTTTTCATGATTTGTGATATTCTACGATAACTTCATATGATAAAAAGATATACACAACACATATATACACATATTCTTATATGTCTGTATATATTTTTATGTGTCTTCACATTTATTTTGTGTTTAAAATTATCTTATATTTTGAAATATCAATAGAGAAACAAAATTGAAACATAAAGAATTACGAAAAACTATATATAACGGATCGGATATTCGGATAAACGGTTATTTAAACGGATGCATATTCGGATCGGATTTTATACGGATCAGATATACAAATACTAAATCCGTATCCGTTTAGTAATCGGATATTGTTAATCGAATACGGATAATATCTGTTTAAAACGGATGCGGACGGTAACCGGATTTTCGGCTATCTGTTGACAGCCCTAGCCATTGCCAACAACCGAAAATCAAAGGGACAAAAGCTGGAAATGGTTACAAATAAAAGGATAGAGGCCAGTTTATTCTCGTCTATTGAGGGGAGGAACAACAAATAGAGAGAGCCACCATTGTCGAGCGTTGGTGTTCACCGGACTAACATCAGGAACACCGATGATACCAATGAGGCGGTTGAGAGGATGAAAACCAAAGTTATCAAGTTACAGAAAAAGATGGAGGGGGAAAAGAGGTAGAAGAGGAGCATAAGTTTTCAAGATGGTCACCTTACACACCGAGAATTCATTAGACGTCCTTAATGGCATAGGCAGGTTAAGGAAAATAGAGTGATTATGGGCACATTTCAATAAACAGGGGCAAAAACGGCATTGGGGTCCAATGACAAGGTCTCCAAATGTTTTTTTTAGAGGCAATGAGAAACAACAATCTCAAACAAGCATTCGGATAATTTCTTGTTAAAAAACGCCCAACATCGAAAAATATAGAAAAGCCCAATATCATTTTCCGAATTTACTCTTTTAATTTATAAAATATAGAAAAGTAATCATTAATCAAGTTTATAAGGGAGAAAGACCTAAGTAGAACTAAAACATTGAAAATATACCAAAATAGGACTTCCATGTTTTTATTCCCGAAATAGGACTTACATTACCAAACATGGTCATATACATTACCAAAAAAGTATAGTAATGTGCACATGTACACTTTCACATTACCACAGTGCAAAGTTACATTACCACAGTGCAAAGTCCTATTTCGGGAAAAAAATATGAGAGTCTTATTTTGGTACTTTTCTCTATGTTTTAGTCCTATTTAGGGTGATTTCTAAGTTTATAATTGGTCAAGCCCCATAAAGCCTCCTTTCATAACATTTTTATTTTTACTAACTTACATTTCAGAATCATAATATACATTTAATTATACTAAAAACTACTGTTAAATCAATTTCAATAAAAATAGAGGGTTTTCGGCTTGTTGTGATCAATAGAGATATGATACGGGAGAAAAAATTATCAAGTAAAAGAGACGAATTATTTTTTGAGACTTTGGAGAAGTGAATTGAGTGAAAAATGATACTCCGTGGTAATTGTAGGGAGTAATTGTGTGTAATTGAAGGATGTAACTTTTAGGAACTTAATATTCCCAATTTAGGAACTTAAAATTCTCCATAAAGCAACATCCTGGTTCATATGGCATTAATGCTTAATGTCATGAAAGTCAATATCACATGAACCATAGGTGCCCAGGTCATGGTATTATATCGAGAGCCAATGTCACATAAAACTTGGTGTACATCAAGATTTGTACACTAAGTCTATCACAGACACACAACGATAACAAATGTCTGTGCATTATACCATGTGTTTATGTGATATACGTGGTGTACTCTTTGCAGAACCTTTAAAATATACTCTCGCTGTCCCATTTGAATCTTTTCAGTTCGCATTGCGATGTTTGACTAACTTTATTTTTAGTTCAATTTATTCAATTGTAGATATAAAATTAAAAAGTAAAAAATTGTATATTTTAATATTACATCAAAAGATCTACAAAACTAGATGGGACATGAATATTTTATTTTGTTAAATGAGTAACGAAAATAAAAAACAAAATATATAAAGTTTGACTTTGTGAATAGTATACATAAAGATTTAAGTGGGACGGAGGGAGTATATAATAAATTTTCTGTCCAGAAATAATGCTCCTAGTTACTATTCACGAGTTAAATTAAGTTTATTTTTATACATTTCTATCGATCATTTGATAAAATAAAATTACATTATTCACTTGTTTTGTAGAACTATTAAATATTGTACACATTAATAAATACCTTGGAGTTTTTTCTTTTCTCATAAAATTCCATCTTAATTTTTAATCTTTTTGGATAATAAATGTATTTCTTAGCGAAAATTCTTGAAAATCATTTTTAGCAAAATCTCTATGATTTAAATAAAATTTTGTTCTTGTATACTAAAGAGTTAAGTGTATAAATACAAATTTCACATATTTTTGTCTTTTTTTCCGGCAATTAATTAAACTATCAATTATTCTAAATTTTTTTGGCCGGCATCCATTTTCTAGTTTTTTTGAAAACTCCATTATTCTAAATTCTTTTGCAAACAAATTTTGTCATGAAAATATAAACAAAATACAGGTGTCTAAATACGGTGTCTTAATTATTGACTTACGGTGCGTACCTAAAATGTTCAAAAGAATTAACAGCCGTCGGATCTTTCTTTAACTGACGGCTGCGATATCGCGAGAATTATACCGTTAGAGGGTTACCTTAGAAGGCTGTGATTTCAAAAATATTAGACCGTTGAAGCGCCTCTCCCATAAGCTTTTTAAGCAGGCGCTATCTCTATCCTTCTGAAAATCCTTCATCTCCGAATTCAGACCCAGCGAGAGAGGGAGAGAGAGAGAAAGGAAGAACAAGAAGCAGAGGGATCCGGAGAAAAGGAGATTCCAATTCGCAAGGCTTATCAGAAAGAAGAATGGCTTCAAGAAACGATGTTCAGCCACTGAACAGAGGAGGTATCAATCATCAAGAATCTGATTTTGCAGTTTTTAGATCCTAATTTCTCTCTGTTATTCGTTCTTTCTTCTGTAATTAGATGGATTCTGTAATTCCTGGTCTGGGCGTAGTGTTGTCTTTTCCCCCAATTTAACTGCAAACAGATGAATCTTGATTTGTAAATCTGAATCTGCGTTTTCTGGGTATTTGATTTGATGGCCACTCTGTATAATATTTGGACTGTTTTCATCTCTTCTTTCTGTCTGATCTTCAATTGTTTGATATATATCATAGCCCCAGATCTAAAACTGTGAGCGGTTTTATTTATTCAGTTTGGAGTGATTGATCGAGAGAAATCTGATCACAGATTCTTCAGAATCGTCTGTTTTAGGGTGTTTCTTTACCAACCTAATAATCCCAAATGAAATTCGTGCAGAGGCATTCCCCGGAGGACAGAAGCCAAAGACCATGGCTGCGGCGGCAGACGGGAGGAACCGCCGGGCGCTTGAGGACATCGGAAATAAGGTGACCATCCGAGGGGTTGACGGTGGCGGTCACAACAAGGTCAAGCTCCCTCAGGTTTCTCGCCCTCTCACAAGGGGCTTCTGTGCCCAACTTCTTGCCAATGCGCAAGCTGTTGCCGCGGACAACAAGAACAGGGTAAAAAAAATCTGATTCAATTGAAGAATCCTGAATCTGAGATTAATCTGAAATCAATCTTGAATTTAATCCCACCCGTTCTTGTTCTGATCTGGATTTGCAGAAACCTTTGGCTGTGGTCAATCTGGAACCAGGAGCACTTCCTGCTAAAGTGCCAAGAAAACCTGCTGCTGTTCATAAGAAAGCTGCTGTTCCCAAGCCTGAGGATTTGATTGTAATCAGCCCTGACACTGAAGAAGTTCACAATGCCAAGAAAGACTCCAGAAAGGCATCTGAAGCTTCATCCAAGAAGACTTCTTATACTTCAACTCTCACTGCTAGAAGCAAGGTTTATATTAATCTCATACCTCTGGACTTTCCCCACTCATCTCATTGATTTAATAGCAGTCAATGAATGGTTGTTTAAGAATTCCTTCTTCAATTTTCACACACAGGCTGCTTGTGGACTGAACAAACCAAAGGTTCGGATTGAAGATATTGATGCTGGAGATGAATACAATGAACTGGCAGTCGTTGAGTATGTAGAAGACATCTACAAGTTCTACAAGGAAGCAGAGGTGGGTTTTTCCTCCTGCATTTCTCAATTTGTGCCCAAATTCTTGTGAATATGAGTTAAAAATCTTGTCTTTTTGCTTACCCAGAACGAAACCAGGCTTCATGATTACATGGGATCTCAGCCAGAGATAAACGAGAAGATGAGATCAATCCTGATAGACTGGCTAATTGAAGTCCACCACAAGTTCGAGCTCACATCTGAGACTCTCTACCTCACAATCAACATTGTGGAC